ACCTACACCAATGTAACGTGAAATCAAGTGTCATGCAGTGGTGTACCAAAAGTATTGTCCCACTAATTTAATTTTCACTTCCATATTCTCTATTTGAGCGGGGAGGATGATATATAGTCAGGAAGGTAAAATCAATTTAGGCTATCTCCTTTTATGCTAAGGTTGCCTACTGCCTATGTTGCAGGAATTTTATAATTTGGGGTCTGAACTGTTTAAAATCACAATAACTTCATGCTCTTTCTGGGTACTATAGGCAACTATACTAATTATTGATTTTCTCAGGTGTCCTTTACTTTAGTTAATATGATAATTTTATGGTTATCTGGTCAAAAGACCACAGAATGCTGGTGAAAATGCAAACAGAATGCAATAGCTTGATAAAGTTCAAGAAATGTAGGTCAGTGTGAATTTGTAAAATGATGCAGTTCTATGCAGAATTATGAAAATCTGTATATTGCTGAAATCATCACTTGAAGACCTTTCCAAAGTGCCAGGAACAATATTATATGTGTATTTTTAACCTCTATACAGACAGCAGGAGAACTGTCAACTGAATTTGCATCTCATAGCTGGAACCAACAGCACTGCCTACTGCATAATGAAGTATCAGAATAACAATAAGTTACCCTGTCACAGGAATTTTTTTTTCAAACTATATAAACCAAATAATTTTATCATTAACAAATCAATATCTACTTCACAGATTTGTTACACAAGATCATTTTTAGTTGTGGGCTTTGAGCATATATGTTGATAATGCTATGCCTATTTTCAATTACATGAAGCATTCCCTATGACAAGGAAAACACACTTTGTGTTACCTGGTATATTCACTTTTTTAACAAAAGAATGCATCCTAAACTTGCACTAATAAACATTGATATTCTTCTGATTTGTTGCACAATTTTCAGATCATGATAAGACACTACATTTGTCAATACTTACACATATTTCCTCTACAAAGATATTCCATAAAAATCGGTGTGGGGAAACTGGTTGGACTAAGCTTATATGGGAAGCCAGGTTTGTAGGAAGATGCAGCAGATGCTGCTAATATACTGCGATAAGCTTTAAGATAATGAAAAGATTATGTGCTAAAAAAATTACCCACTTTTTCAGTTATAACAGTATAATAAGCAGTACTATTCCAACTATGAGGCATGCAACAGACAGATCATTTATAAAAATAGACCAAGATTATTGATTAACCTAAAACATGTTTTGCATTTACAGAACTCTTTTTCTCCCCCAAAATTTGGTGAAGCTTTAAAAACACAGGCCAAACAATTTGCCCATATTCAGTTCTCCCACTTCACACTGAACCATGAAAAGTTCATCCTAAAGCAAATTTGGTCCAGAGTCCACAGAGTATCATGTATCATAACTACTATTCATATCATATAGTCCTAAGAAAAGATTGCTTACTATTGCTCAATGAACCTAAGATATGTATGAACAAAGAGAAGGCTGGCAGTAAGGGTTTAATGCAAAGATCATTTAATTTCAACTAATTTTCAATTGACTTTAATGGAATTTGGTTTTATTTTCTCTGAGAGGGCATACATGTAGAAGGTCATGGGTATGAAACTTCTCAATAAACACATTTACATGTAAGCTATCTGGAAGTCTAGCTCTGTTTGGAAGTTTGAGTTTATGTCTTTAGTATCACTTATGCTTATACACATTTTTCTTTATGGTAACAATGAAACCCCCTGCACAGTGCATACCGTGTTAGTATTAATATGTGGAATAGTATATTCATATCCAACTACTTTTAGATTCTCTGCTTTTGTTGCTTCTATTCAAATTCTTGAAAGTATAGTAAAAGAGATGAAAGTTTCAGGTTCAAATAGCTTTAGAATAAATCTGTATTTTATGCTAAAACATCTATGCTTGCCAGTCAAGCAATGTTTGGACTACTACATACCCCTTATTTTATACTGCCTCTCAGGAGAGAGTCATCTTGGGAGATGTTATCCCCAAGACAGAATTGTCTGCATGTTCTGTACAACTGTACAGAGCCGTATAAAGCATGACAGAAATACTTTAGCACAACTGACAACGTGTAGGCTGCAAAAGTATGCTGAAAATTATTTGTAACTGCTTAAAAAACCTCAAACTTTTAAATGGATTATGGTACAGCATTAATGAGGACGTGTGATAATCAGGAAGGATCATGATGATTCGGATGATAGTACTGTCTAAAAAGATCGTGAATTGCATTGAACTTTAACAAGTATTTTAGACTTCATTTAATTTCAGCAAATAATGATTATTAATCATTCATTCAAAGTAATCTGGCAAATTCAGATTAATGACAATGAGAAACATTTTGCATCCCATTATCAGTACATCTGTAATACAAATTTATATTTATCATTATTTGGGGGTTTTCATCACCGGTTGTGTTCTAAATAACAAAGCTTCCATATCCACTGTTGGGAAGAAGTACATGAGTATATAGGAACATGAATAAACTGTAGTAATATGTTGACAGACATTTCCTCAGTTATAGATAGAGGGACTAAAGCTGAATAGAGGACTCTGTAATCAAAAAGGAACAAGAAATAGTATTAAATGCGTAAAACATGGATCATACACTCTGATATTGAAGGTAAAGTGCATAAAATAAAAAAAACAACGTTGATACTATATGCATTGTTTATTTATTCATTTGTTTATGATTGATTGATACAGAACAAAGAGTTTCCAAGTAAAAATGCTTATGTACCTACATGCAGTGACTCTGAAATCTTTACCTTAAGGACAAAGAAAGGTCACCAATCTTTCCAACTCCTAGTTCTTTGTCAAAAATGGACACAGTTAATGAGGTTTGTTTGGTACAGCACAAATTCTCAGACACAGATAGAGATCCTTTCAATGGAAACAAATTTGTTTGGCTTTACCAGGTTACTTAGCGATTAATAATAGCCTTGAGATGCAGGTCAGAAAGGTCATTGTCCCCGCTTGCCAACACAATCTAAAATGTGCAGCTAGTCTGGCTCTGCAGGCTTTGAGGCCCCAAAATGCTATACATAAAGTAAAACAGGCTATTTTCCAACTTCTCTTTTCATATTAATAAGCAATTTTCAAGAGAAGGGTGGCAAAATGGGGGCCATGCCACTCTAAGTAATTCATTTATTTTGCAATTTAATCTTATGTTGGAAAAAAATTACACTGCTGCAAAAGCATAGCATGGTGATTTTTAAACGTCAGTGTGCTTCATAAGTAACCTTGTATGAAATATTGTATTAGCAGCCTTTAACAGTAAACTGCAACAAAAAATATTTCCAGAGATTGAAACAGACCTACACATCTTTTCCAATCTTTATTTCCTTTTCATTCTATTTTTTCTTTTACATTTGAAATAAAACATATTTAATTACTTAATATTTTACTTGTTTTAGTTGATAAAAACTTGAAAGATAACATAAAACAAATAAAATTTCTACATTGCAACTTGTATTTAAGAATGTAAAATTATTGCTCTTCCACATATTTTGATGAACTAATTTAACATTATGATAATTAAAATATTAAGAATAAATCTGACTCACAATCTTAAAAACACTTTCAGGAGCAATCTAACTTTCCCATGGGATTATTCATATCAGCAAACTTATTAATGTGCCTATTTTGACAGAATTTGACCCCTGTCCTAGAGTGTTTTATTTGGTACTCATTGAAACAACTGAGACTATTAATGTGGACCTCTATAAATAATTTGTCTTGCTGGAATATTTGAATTATCCAGATATGTGAATAGCATATTTTTCTTTGCTTTTTATTTTATCATATACACACATGCTTAAAAAAAATAAAGACTAGAATTTACTCACTTAATTAACTTTTAAACAATCTAAATGCTTGACTGAATATGCTTGGTGTCTTTGGCACACAGGTTAATTTGAACTAGCCATTTCTTAATAACAAAAATAACAAATGTTAATCAAACTAACCTTTTTTAACTGGGTTGAAAATATTCCATACACGTGCACTGTGCACAATAGCACGGAATTTCGTTTCTTATAGAACATTAATTCACTCCACTGTTTGCATAATTTATGGCAAGCCTGGTTCTATGAAAAAAAGCCATTGCTGCGGAAACATACACCTATTTTCTGTTAAAGTTTTGTTCTAAATATGCAGTTAAAATAATGAGTTTTCTCCGTTCTTTGAGAGCTGGTGTTAGGTACAGTTCCTTATTTCTTTTACGATGAGAGAATTTTCTGTGACCTATTGAATACACAGACCAGCCCATTTAGATGACACTATGTGTTTGCAAACCTCTGTCATGCAGTGGCTCACGAGGCAGTTATGTTCCTGTTTCTTGTGGTGGCCTGTACCATTGCTGTCAGACCAGAGTAGAAAGCCAGCTGTGCAAGAAGCCTAATGCTATGGAAACTCCTCTTAAGGACATTGCCTGCATAAAAGGTTTACGTCCAGTTCTTCTTTATCCCTACGTTCTCAACCTTACAAAAGGCTCAAGGATCTAGGAATGAATGTCAGCTCTTATCCTGTGTCTACTGCCCTCTCCCATTCCCCAAGGTCTCCCCTGTTTGCAGATCAGAGGGAGGTGTTGCAAAGCACTAGCTGAAACGTAAGTGAACAACTTTTATTTTGAAACCATTTGAAGGAAAATTATAATAACTTCTGCTTAGAGAAATTCAAACTAAAATGACCCTTAAAGGCATAAAAAGGACATCTACGAATGCTATAAAAATACGTAGGTGGATATATTCTTCAAAAGGGTAAGCAATATGAGCTCATATACTCTTCATAGTTTTTTTTATTTTAATCCTATTTCTTCACAGTTATATCCATGTAGAATCCTGCTGCTGTAGAACTGAATGAACTGTAATTTTGCATTCCAGTGGTGTCAGTATACTGCTAATGCATAATAGCAGAACACTGTGAAGCTATAAAAGGGTTAAAATAAAACAAAACATTAGCACATCTTTTATTGTTGTAGTATAATTAGCAGACTTATTTCATGACAGGAATGAACTCCAAGAGTATGCAGAGATGAAGGAAAATGAAGAGAAAAGGAAAGACCTAGAAAAGAAAGAAAAGGAAAAGAAATACCAAGCCCGAAAGATGCATTACCTCCTTAGCACTGAGCAGGTTGGTATACCTGTCCCTGACAGCTCATGCAAACCACTTGGGCCCCCAGCCTGACAGAGATAAACTAGCAGGCTGAATGGGACATGACTTGTTGAAAAGATATCACAAAGACACTACTTCGAGTTCAATTTAGTGCTTTTCTATAGGCAAGAGCAGGTACCATGACTATTCCGTGACAGCAGCTTCATAGAGGCAGCATCAGCACTGCTGGCAGAAAGAGTCCAAGTCAGCAGTTTGATCTGGCACTGTGATAACACAACACGAAGGGCATAACCTCGCTTTAAAAACTCATTTTGACTGGCTTATTGTTGTGGTGTTGCACTTGTCAAGAACTAACAAGTTATTAAGCTGAGAAGGGATTTCATTTTTTTCCCCCTTTTTTAATTGAGCTAATGCTTGGATTGGTGCTGTGTTCTGCTTGTTTTTAGGATAGATTGTAAATGCAGGTTTTCAGCTAAAGCTTTTCCTAGAACTGCCTGAATCAGCTTATTTAGCTTGATTATTTTCACATAGAAATGCCTCATAAATTTTAAATATTTACTGATTAATTTGTTTTGTATTGATAAAAGTGGTATATTTCTTCAAGCTTTCTTATGTAAGCTGCTTTACAGACAAGTGAATATGGCAGTAGATATATCTTATACAAAATTGATATGATTGGTAAAGCTTGTGAGTTTGCCTTTTTTAGTCCTGTTTTGTGAACCCTTTTAAAAAAAAAGATTTTGTGTCCATAAAGGTATGGTGACTGGTTGTTCTTCATATGAATAAGGAATTAACATGCAATCAGGGTATGCTAGCATGAACTAAGTGCTTGCTTTTCATAAGTTTTTAATTATAATCTGTATGTAAGAACTGTTAATCCCAAAGAGCGCAGGAAAAATACCATGACACTTAGTGACAGAATACTTAATCTTTCCCTCTGCTTGGGAATCATTTGTGATCTATCCAATAAATAGAAATACAGTTTAATTCGCGGGATATCAGTTATGAAAACTCAATTTGTAAATCAAATCTAAGTAATTTTATTTGCAAAAAAAAAGCATAGTAAAATATTAGTAAAAAATAGCATAAAAAGTTTTCTGAGTGGCTTTTAGTCAGGGGAGCTAGTTCATAACTGGAATTAGCTGACAATAATTGATTTGTCCAGATGTAGGTCTAGAATATTAAGAATAATCTGTGCAGTGTTTTTATATTGTTTTAAACTGTAGAAAATTCAGAATTCTTTTTTTGAACAGAACAATTTATGTAAACAAATGCATAAATATTAATATGTTTACCTGGAGTACAAAAATTGTCTGGTTAGAGACATTGAGTGACCTGTGGTCAAAAAAGATTTTAGTAAACTTAGTTCACTTCTGATGATACTGGCTTAGTAAACTGTAATGCATTTTTAGGGAATAGCAAGTAGTGCCTTATTTCAGCCATCCACCTGGAGGACTGCTGGTGGTACTCATTGAAACAACTGAGACTATTAATGTGGACCTCTATAAATAATTTGTCTTGCTGGAATATTTGAATTATCCAGATATGTGAATAGCATATTTTTCTTTGCTTTTTATTTTATCATATACACACATGCTTAAAAAAAATAAAGACTAGAATTTACTCAATTGATTTTTAAACAATCTAAACGGTGTAGGCAGCAGTAACTACTGTGTTCTGATGAATATGGGTAATTTTGCAGAATTAGAATTTAGCTAGCAGGTTTTTGCAGAACAAAAATATGCTTGGTTTTGCTTGCTGAGATGGTTTGTGAATAGGGGGACTCAGAGCTCACAGAATTTTTCCTTTATCACAGAACTGTGCTCCAAGAACTGTCTTCTTTTGCAGGTAGTATTTCAAAACATGAATGAGTGTAAATCAATGCAACACCTATAGACAACCTGAAAGCCATCAACTGTATATGAAGTAAACTATATACTGCAATCAAAGTCTGTATTCCACAATTGCACATAGTTATAGAATTTGATATCTTGCTAAGATACAGGGCAAATTATTTCAGTGCAGAATTTTTTACTGGTTTGATGCTCTGTGTCTGACATTTTACTCTCTATGTGCCTGGTCTTCTGACCTGACTACAGCTTCATCTTGCTTTCTTCAAAGGACAGTTAACTGGATTACTGAGCAAGATCCATTCATGTCTCAGTAGAACCAGGCAGCAAAAGTCAACACTTTTGAGTGAGTTAAGGAAAAAATGTAGTTTGTAAGTAGGCAAATGAAAAGAGGAGGTTGATGAGCTGGGCTTATTGTAGAGTCATGTATTAACTAATGCCCAATGAGTTGTAGAGATGATCTGCTGAAGTTTGCTACAATGTCATCCCCTTCCTGCCATGCATAACGAGGTGCAATGATGGAGCTGAGCCACCTCATGCATCAAGGCTGCAGATGTTCAGGCAGGTTTATATGGACAGCACTGCAAAATCTGTATTTGCAATAATTGTTTCAAATATATCCTATAGTTTTGAATGTTTTTGTTTTACTACAGGCAAAAAGGGTGAGAAAAGGGTGTTTACTTAGTGACCAAAAGGAATTAAGGAGTTGCTGCTCCTTGATTTTAGTAAAGAAAGGCATGTCAAGTTCCATTCTCCACTTCCTACAAGCTGAAGCCCAGAAACCCATCTCAGAAGTGTGTTACAGGTTAAACAGGGAGATGATCAAATGTCATAGCATTGCACAGTGTAGCAGATGATACAGTGATTCTTTGTAGCCTTAAAGTCTATGAATCCTTTATTGGTTGCAGAATTTGCTCTTCTTATTCCACAGATTATATATATGTAAAAGGTTGTGCCCATTCCTAATTGCTAGCGTTTTTTTACATTTCAAAAAGTAGAACTTAAGAATGCTAGCACTGGTGTCATGAATGTACAGGGGTGTCTAGTATGTATATAATAGCATAGCCTATGATGAAGTCAACCCGTTTTGTCTTTTTCATGAATTAACTTGCTATTCAAGCATTTATTTCTTCCATAAACTATTACCTCTATAAAGAAACAAAAAAAAAAAGAGGAAGAAATGGATATCAAACTCTGAATTAGTATGCATTATTTGTTGTTATTGATACCAGGTACGTATACATAGTCTTATACAGACAGATGTGAGCTTGCTTTGATTACTTTCCAAGCCAATCTAGAGCTATAACATGGGGCTGAACCCAAACTAATTAGCCCTGTTGAGAGCCACGGTATTAGCTCAAGAATTAATGCAGTTACACAGCTTCTGGTCAGCTCAAAATATGGGCAGAATAAGTGTGTGCATGCTTTAAACTCAGGAACAAGGAGTTTGATCTGCCTACAAAATATTATATAGGCATACCTATATCTAAGTTGTTTTGTCTGCAGTTCCCCACCTTTTTGCAGGGGAGGTGTGTGTATTGAGTACCATTGTTATGAAACTGACATTCAGGGAAATCATTGGATGATAAAAAATGCATGGTATTATACTATACTTTACAATTTTCCTATATTTTTTGCAAACAGTTGACTGAGTGTATTTTGCCATAGAAACTTACCCAAATACAACTATTTCTCATTGCTACTTGTAGAAATACATTACATTTACACAAATATTTTAATCCACGTTAAGAACTAAGCAGTTCATTTGAATAAAAGAATGTTAGTATTTTAGCAAAGAAGCTTAAAGAAAGTTAAACAAGTTAGGATATTTGCATAATCAATAATTACTAACAGTAGTAATGTTAATTTGCTGTTATTAATAATATATATTAATAA